TCTAAAAACGGGGTTATCTGGATTATTATGCAATATCGTAAAAGTAAACACTTACGTAATAGACACGAGGCTATTGAGGGGGCGTAGCCCCCGAGTATAAATCAGATTGCCGAGTGATTTGATGTTCTTTCTCTTTTGTATCATAGTCAAACATAAAAACACGTTCCCTGATACCACAATATGAAACCCCACAAAAAAGTAACCAATGAACGAGCATCTGAATATGATATTTCCATCGCTTTCCCTTTCTCTTTCGTCACAATATGTAAACCCCGGACAAAATGAACCAATCAATGGGCATGCTCTGGAGTGCGGGTAACTTATACCCGCACTCCAGTTAACGCACGGTGAATGTTTATGTTTACGATTTAACTCTGTCACATGTTCAACAGAAAGGTCCCCAAACTATGATACAAATATACTATATAGCATTATTCTTGCAGTCTCTGCCGGTAGATCGAAGTTATTTTATCTTATAATGTTATTTACTCATAGGTTCAAACCCCACGTAGTGCCATTTTATAACCACAGTTTTTGTTCTTGCTCTTTTTTATCTATTTTTCGTTTTCCTTTTTGTTTTCTTTTTATAATATATTTTTTATAGTATATTTATTATTTTTATTTCTATTCTATTTTCTTTTTGTACTTTTTGATCGCAGTGTAATAAAATATTCGATCTCATATTCATGTATGTATATGAAATAAAACGGACAAACTTGTTTTCTGAACAATTGACTGTTCTGAGGTAAAAAATGTGTCTTACCAGTAGTCGAACTTCTGCCTGTACGGGAAAAACACATTATTGACACGGTTGCTCTACCTACTGCGCTAACAAGACATATGATAACATGTATTTTTATTTTCATTTTTATAGGTTGTGGCATTAACAATGTGGCCATACCACGTGACTTTTCGGATACGGAACACGCCGTTTTTTCACCCGATTCAGGTATGTTTTTTATTCATAACTTATTTATTACTCAACCGATTTTGATCAGATAAGGCGCAGAGTACCCGTAATTATATCAGCTATCCACGGTATATCAAAATTCTGAAAACCCCTGAATGGTTTTTGAGAACATTCGAGTACAGTTTTCTTTTCATAGCCTGGGCCGAGGGGAACGGTACACACTCATTTGGCATAACAGGCGATTTCTAGCAAGTCATATGTTTTTTGACACTATTTTCATAGACATACACATGTTTAAATCTGATATATTTACTATGTCCAATGTATCAAGTGAATGCAGTGATGTTTTAGCATATTTTCATAAAGTTATGTTGAAATGGTACGGAACACACTGTTATTTCAAAAGATACGGTACACACACAATTTCTGTCTTTGAAACAATTCTAAAATAAAATATATAAAAAAAAATTAATTTAAATTATAATGTGATTGATTTTTTTAGTTATACATTTTATTAATTTAAACGAGAACCCTGGGACCTGTTTTGCAAAGTATCATTATGCCTACAGTTTGATGAACATCTGCCAGGGTCCCAAACTAACTGCATGTATCTAAATTATCAAATTATCTACATTTGGACAAATATATTTCGCAGTTTTACGTGCAATCAAATTTGATAATTTGAAGAACCCATATGGGAACAAGGCCTGTTATATATCGTAACGTAGTTTACACAAGGTAACCTTGTTACATATACATGTAAGTATATACATGATAGGAAATTTGGTAAAATTATGCCTATCTTGGACTTTCATTTCAAGATGCATTTAACACTTGAGTTCATGGATATGTGTGCTTGCATGTTTGTGTTAAAAATAAAATGATATTTTAATAATACCAATTTTGTTGTCAATCAAATGCTATGGATTTGCTATGGAGGCTGCGTTCTGTTTTATATACTACATGAAGTAGGTACGAGACCACAAGTGACTTCGATGTTTCGATTTTTTATGTGAGAAAGTTTTCTTATTACCGTACAGAATGTCGGTTGTTTTACTCAGGTGCCCGTTCGTTCCTTTATTTATACCCAAAGGGGCACTTGTAAAACTTGAAAGTCGCCACATGATAATGTCAGTTTTATGAGCCGTGAAACCAAACCAAAAATGACCTAATTACATGAACTAAAAGTTATTTTCAAAGCTTCATGCCTTTAAACATTAAAAAATTTAAGCAATGGCGACTACATTTTTATTTTTGTTGGGTCGTCAGACCAAACAAATAATGGTAGCGAAATTTCAGGCTCTGATATGCTTATTTGCAAAATAAGAAAGTAGTCTGAAAGTAGAACCCTGGAAGCGGTTACTTACCTTTATATGTACTTCTAACGCTGAAAAAGAAGGGGGATCACTGTGTTTAAAATTGTCAAATGACGGGCGCATTAATTTTCAAGCCTTCTCGGGAGAAGAAAAAGTAGATCCCGATTGGTCAAATATTTCAAATATTGTGTAATTCTTTACAGATATACATGTAATATGAAGCTCCATGATTATTTACATGAGTGTCAAACGAAATTAATAAGGGTTACAAACCCTAATTTATAATGATATGGTTTCTTCAGGCTGTTATCTTATAACTTCCCCGTGGTCGAGGGGTAACGCGCGCGTTAAGGAAGAGAGATGTCCTGAGTTCAAATCCAAGTTAAGGCAACTCATGTTTTTTTTTTTTTTTTTTTTTTTTTTTATTGTTTAAGCCAAATAAACAATGAATTACATATCAGTGTTGCAATAAGCCTTATAGCCAATTTCCTTCAGTTATGACACTAGAAACAACATTGGTGGCACTATACAAAAACAAATTGGTTTACAATCTCTCAGCCTTCACCTTTCTGACATTCTGAGACCCAAACAAATTCAGCGCCTTCTGTGATTTGATTTAATTAAACATGACCATGATATTGCTAAATTGTACTTAATGACTTGCTTATTATTAACAAAATATAAATATATATAAATTGTTATCAAGTAATGATACTTTTCAGCGATTTAGGTCATGACCTTGTTTTATTTTTTTCAGGGTGAAGCAAAATACATATCTTACTTTACTTAAACTAAAAGAAATAAAAAAACAACAATAAACAACAATAAACACATCACTATTTAAAAACATTTTCTTTCTATAGAGCGCAACTACCTGATTCTGTGAAGATCGAAGTGTTTAACATACCCTAGGTGATTTTAAATAGGACAAATACATGGAGGTTTTAAATGTTAAGCGTGATCTCTTGAAATAAAGTGCACAAATACATATAAATATTAAAAGTAAGCATTATGATACATTGCAAAACAGGTCCCTGGGTTCTCGTTTAAATTAATAAAATGTATAACTATGAAAAAAATCAATCACATTATAATTTAAATTAAATTTTAATATATTTTATTTTAGAATTATTACAAAGACAGAAATTGTGGGTGTACCGTATCTTTTGAAATAACAGTGTGTTCCGTACCATTTCAACATAACTTTATAAAAATATGCTAAAACATAACTGCATTCACTCGATACATTGGACATAGTAAATATATCAGATTTAACATGTATTTTTCTATGAAATAGTGCCAAAAAACATATGACTTGCTAGAAATTGCTTGTTATGACAAATGAGTTTGTACCGTTCCCCTCGGCCCAGGCTATGAAAAGAAAACTGTACTCGAATGTTCTCAAAAACCATTCAGGGGTTTTCAGAATTTTGATATACCGTGGATAGCTGATATAATTACGGGTACTCTGCGCCTTATCTGATCAAAATCGGTTGAGTAATAAATAAGTTGTGAATAAAAAACATACCTGAATCGGGTGAAAAATCGGCGTGTTCCGTACCCGAAAAGTCACGTGGTATGGCCACATTGATTAATCTGCCTAACCTATTTTTCGCATTGTTATTGGTCTTTGTTATTTAAACAAAGGCTCAAGTTATCATCCTAGGACAGTACATCTATTTTGTATCGTTGGCCTAGTGGTTAAGGTGTCAGCCTTCAGTTTGTGAGGTCGAAGGTTCAAGCCCCCACAGGGAAGGTAATTGAAGTATAAATGTTTATCGTGGGACTCGTTCCTAAATAGCCGTAGTTAAAATGAATGGTTACCAATTTCTATCTGCCTTGCGCCTGGCATAGTGGTAGGAGTTGGGAGGTACATGGTATGCAAGCAAAAGGGTTGACCTTTACAGTAGTGGTGACACTATAATAAACAAGACCTTTCCCCATTACCTTTTATTTGGTATTTTATGCTGTACGTAAAAAGGCAAGTCCTTGATGTAATACTATATTTATTATGTCACGGTTCAGGGGAGAAAATGTGTAAGCCCCTGGATAGCTCTGTTGGTAAGAGCTGTGGTACGGTATTCCAAGGGTCCTAGGTATGAGTCCCAGTCGGGCTGCACATTCTTCTCACCCTGTGTCATTTGGTATCCTATTTGAAGCTGTGACTGAATATAGCCCAGAGTTAAATTCACATTGCTGAGAAATTTGAGGATGAATTTCAATATAGCAGGAAAGTATCTCAATAGCTTTTAGCGGAGAAAATGTGTAAGATGCCAGATAGCTCATTCGGTAGAGCCGTGGTATGGTATTCGAGGGTGCTAGGTTCGAGTCCCGATCAGGCTGCACATTTTTTTTGTTTTGTTGCTTTCTTCATCTCACTTTCTTCGCCCCCTTGACTGCAACAAAACAAAATAATGAAAAAAAAATAGAGAGCCATCGATGGGTCACGCACAGGTGACAGTATGATTAAACGCCAAATACGCTAAATGTGGGGCAAAAAAATGATTTTTTATTGTCACGGTTCAGAACTGTTCACTATTTATAGGGGAGATGATGTGTAAGCGGTTTGTTAACTCAGGTGGTATAGATGTTGTTCAGTATTCCGGGGGTTCCGAGGTTCGAGTTCCGGTCAGGCTGCACATTTTTCTCACCCTGTGGCACTTGGTGCCCAACATGGGCCGTGACTGAATATAGCTCAGAGTTTAATTTACATTTCTCTGCAACTCTGTGAATTTCGAAAATGAATTTCAATATAGCAGGGGAGTATGCGCGATATGGTTCAGAACTGTTTAGCGGAGATGATGTGTACGCGGCCGGATAGCTACGTCGATAGAGCCATGTTACAGTATTCTGAGGATCCCGGGTTCGAGTTCCATTCAGGATGCAGATTTTTCTCACCCTGTGACACTTGGCGCCAAACGGGGAACCGTGTCTGAATATAGCTCAGAGTTTATATTACATTTCTCTGTTACTCTGTGAAATTCAAGGATGAATTTCAATATAGCAGGGGTCAGAAATATTAACTATTTAGGGGAGATGGTGTGTAAGCGGCCAGATAACTAAGTAGGTAGGGCAGCAGTATGGTATTCCGAAGGTCCCAGGTTCGATTTCTGCTCGGGCTGCACATTTTTCTCACCCTATGACACTTTGTGCCCAACGGGGGACCATGGCTGAACAATAATTAGTTCAGAATTTAATTTACATTTGAAGGGCCCATATTCACAAAATACTGAAAAAGGAAAAAAAAGGTTAGTGACAAAATAAATTGTTATATATGTTTCTCAGTCTGTCTCTCTTCAAGGTTTTGCTACTTGTAACAACCACAACCAAAAAAAATAACAGCTCACTTATATGCAGTCAAGCTGTGGAGTTCCATTGTTAATTTGAATTGTCATTTTTGTCGAAATGATTTGTTGAGTTGGAAAAACGTTTTGTAACATTTTGATAAATATAATCAATGTGGCCATACCACGTGACTTTTCGGGTACGGAACACGCCGATTTTTCACCCGATTCAGGTATGTTTTTTATTCACAACTTATTTATTACTCAACCGATTTTGATCAGATAAGGCGCAGAGTACCCGTAATTATATCAGCTATCCACGGTATATCAAAATTCTGAAAAACCCTGAATGGTTTTTGAGAACATTCGAGTACAGTTTTCTTTTCATAGCCTGGGCCGAGGGGAACGGTACACACTCATTTGTCATAACAAGCAATTTCTATCAAGTCATATGTTTTTGGCACTATTTCATAGAAAAATACATGTTAAATCTGATATATTTACTATGTCCAATGTATCGAGTGAATGCAGTTATGTTTTAGCATATTTTCATAAAGTTATGTTGAAATGGTACGGAACACACTGTTATTTCAAAAGATACGGTACACACACAATTTCTGTCTTTGTAATAATTCTAAAATAAAATATATCAAAATTTAATTTCAATTATAATGTGAGTGATTTTTTTCATAGTTATACATTTTATTAATTTAAACGAGAACCCAGGGACCTGATTTGCAATGTATCATAATGCTTACTTTTAATATTTATATGTATTTGTGCACTTTATTTCAAGAGATCACGCTTAACATTTAAAAACCTCCATGTATTTGTCCTATTTAAAAATCACCTAGGGTATGTTAAACACTTCGATCTTCACAGAATCAGGTAGTTGCACTCTATAGAAAGAAAATGTTGTTATATAGTGATGTGTTTATTGTTGTTTATTGTTGTTTTTTAATTTCTTTTAGCTTAAGTAAAGTAAGATGTGTAATTTTTTGCTTCACCCTGAAAAAAATAAAACAAGGTCATGACCTAAATCGCTGAAAAGTATCATTACTTGATAACAATTTATATATATTTATATTTTGTTAATAATAAGCAAGTCATTAAGTACAATTTAGCAATATCATGGTCATGTTTAATTAAATCAAATCACAGAAGGCGCTGAATTTGTTTGGGTCTCAGAATGTCAGAAAGTTGAAGGCTGTGAGATTGTAAACCAATTTGTTTTTGTATAGTGCCACCAATGTTGTTTCTAGTGTCATAACTGAAGGAAATTGGCTAAAAAAAACAACAAAAAACATGAGTTGCCTTAACTTGGATTTGAACTCAGGACATCTCTCTTCCTTAACGCGCGCGTTACCCCTCGACCACGGGGAAGTTATAAGATAACAGCCTGAAGAAACCATATCATTCTAAATTAGGGTTTGTAACCCTTTTTAATTTCGTTTGACACTCATGTAAATAATCATGGAGCTTCATATTACATGTATATCTGTAAAGAATTACACAATATTTGAAATATTTGACCAATCGGGAACTACTTTTTCTTCTCCCGAGAAGGCTTGAAAATTAATGCGCCCGTCATTTGACAATTTTAACACAGTGATCCCCCTTATTTTTTCAGTGTTAGAGTACATATAAAGGTAAGTAACCGCTTCCAGGGGTTCTACTTTCGGACTAACTTTCTTATTTTGCAAATAAGCATATCAGAGCCTGAAATTTCGCTTACCATTATTTGTTTGGTCTGACGACCCAACAAATAAAAATGTAGTCGCCATTGCTTAAATTTTAATGTTTAAAGGCATGAAGCTTTGAAAATAACTTTTAGTTCATGTAATTAGGTCATTTTTGGTTTGGTTTCACGACTCATAAAACTGACATTATCATGTGGCGACTTTCAAGTTTTACAAGTGCCCCTTTGGGTATAAATAAAGGAACGAACGGGCACCTGAGTAAAACGACCGACATTCTGTACGGTAATAAGAAAACTTTCTCACATAAAAAATCGAAACATCGAAGTCACTTGTGGTCTCGTACCTACTTCATGTAGTATATAAAACAGAACGCAGCCCTCCAAAATCCATAGCATTTGATTGACAACAAAATTGGTATTATTAAAATATCATTTTATTTTTAACACAAACATGCAAGCACACATATCCATGAACTCAAGTGTTAAATGCATCTTGAAATGAAAGTCCAAGATAGGCATAATTTTACCAAATTTCCTATCATGTATATCCTTACATGTATATGTAACAAGGTTACCTTGTATAAACTAACGTTACGATATATAACAGGCCTTGTTCCCATATGGGTTCTTCAAATTATCAAATTTGATTGCACGTAAAACTGCGAAATATATTTTGTCCATATGTAGATAATTTGATAATTTTAGATACATGCAGTTAGTTTGGGACCCTGGCAGATGGTCATTTTCATTTACCAAATATCAATGTTGGCCGAAAAAAAACTTTCCGTGAGGTTTTTAAAAAAATCCACTTACAAAACCAAAACCACCAGCGTTTTTTTCTCCAAATTCGACTATTTAAACAACATTTTTGGCAAGGAACTATAATATTTAACAACTTACTCCTAACTTCTTGTTTGTTTTATATATTCATACTACGTTTAGACAGTCATTTATATATTCGAAAAAAACAAATTAAATGAAATAATAATCGCACATAACAGATGTCCATGAATTTCACAATTCGTTTTTATAATCCAAAAGAATATACCTAATTTTTTCAAATGAAAATCAAAAACAAAACAAAATTTTGAACGTCTTCCGTATCCCCTCCCTAAAATTTTAAACATTTTATAGCCAATTATTAATTGCTCAACATATAAAATCGAATTGTGCGCAACGTACTTTCAAAATATTCTTTTATTGTTTGAATAATCCTGTTTACATCAAACTGTAGGCATAATGATACTTTGTAAAACAGGTCCCAGGGTTCTCGTTTAAATTAATAAAATGTATAACTAAAAAAATCAATCACATTATAATTTAAATTAATTTTTTTATATATTTTATTTTAGAATTGTTTCAAAGACAGAAATTGTGTGTGTACCGTATCTTTTGAAATAACAGTGTGTTCCGTACCATTTCAACATAACTTACTGAAAATATGCTAAAACATCACTGCATTCACTTGATACATTGGACATAGTAAATATATCAGATTTAACATGTGTATGTCTATGAAATAGTGTCAAAAAACATATGACTTGCTAGAAAATCGCCTGTTATGCCAAATGAGTGTGTACCGTTCCCCTCGGCCCAGGCTATGAAAAGAAAACTGTACTCGAATGTTCTCAAAAAACATTCAGGGGTTTTCAGAATTTTGATATACCGTGGATAGCTGATATAATTACGGGTACTCTGCGCCTTATCTGATCAAAATCGGTTGAGTAATAAATAAGTTATGAATAAAAAACATACCTGAATCGGGTGAAAAATCGGCGTGTTCCGTATCCGAAAAGTCACGTGGTATGGCCACATTGATAATGACGCATACGTACTTAACCAGTTAAAAGAATGTATATACATCACATTTTAACAGAATTTGTCCGCCATTTTGAAAAACGTCCGAAGGATACAAGCCGCTTTAAATCGTGTTATTTATATTTATGGCGTTTGTTGATAAAAAACAATTATTGAATTGTGAATATTAAAATATTGAACAAGTTATTAGACCTTTATTCTTAAGAATAAATGTGAATGGTAATGAATGACAAGTTTTAAATTTATAGTACCCTTTCGGGCAAAATTTTCGGGTAATTTGACCTAGGTTTCGGAGACATTGGCCATTTTCAACTACAGCTTAAGATTAGTTCTAGCCAGTTTAGAAATAAAACAATCGACAAGTAACAAAGTTTAACACCCGTGGCAAGTTTTAAAAGCATTTATTTTCATGAATTTAATACTTTTAGAACCTTGCAGTTTTTTTTTCAAAATGCCCTACGAAAGATGCAAAATTTGGCGATTTAGCTCAATTTCACGCATATCTTCTGGAGAAAATAAATACTGTCAGAATATGCAATAACATGCACCGAAATAATTGTTCTATGCTGAAGATTTATACCAATTTTCACAGCGCTTTGTTAGTAAACAAAGTTAAAGGCAAGTTTTAAAAAACATATGTAAACCGTGGCAAAATTACGCCCGTGTGATTATTACGCGACACCGGTTAATACCGTGTATAATCATCGTATTTTCTCGGGCTATTCCGTTAAAGGAGCCACAGCAATTTTCAAAATTACTTTTTTTACCAAAAAGGACATAAACGCTTGGACTTAAATCATAAACATTTCATTCAAAACATAACTAATTTACAAGCTGTTATGTACATTTGCAAATTAATTTTCAGTTTGATAGGCATATATGAGAAACACGGGGCTATCTGATTTGTTCGAGAATGCCTCTGAGAATAAATCAGATTGCCGAGTGTTTTGATGTTCTTTCTCTTTTGAATCATAGGCAAAAATAGAAACACGTTTCCTGTCGTCACAATATGACCAGAAAAAAGTAACAAATGTAGAGCATCTCAAAATGACTTTTCTATTACAACCCTTTTTCCCGGTCGTCCTCAGAAAAAGGGAGCCAATCAACGAACATGCTCTTATTTTATCCCGGACAGACAATGCGGTAACTAGAGTGCCGGTAACGTGCATACAATTTAACTCTGACTCATTTTCAATGAAAAGGTCTTCAATCTATGATAAAACCTCTTTTATAAAGAGTCATGCCTTAAACACCAACAGCGTTGTATTCAATTTTATTTTTCATTTCAAATCTGCCCTACGAACACTATTTCATATACATGCATATACATGTATATGATACACACCTACTTTCGGTCTTCTTATGCCTGTACACGCATAGATAATGTCCGATATCACGTAGATAACGTCTCCTTTTGAGATATATGCACATCTATCTCATTAACTTATACAGATTTTATACAGTTTCAGTCATCTTAATGGACATGATGAGCTGCAAGGCATTTCCACGAATAAAGACTGTCCGTGCGTAAGTCTCACAGGCCCAGGAAGGAGACCAAGGAGCCGACTGTCATGACGTCAGCGACGAACACTGGATCAATTGTTACATAGCGTTGACTGTCCTGTATGCTACACGTCTTGCTAACGAGCTTGAGCCGTACGGTTTGAAATGGATGGAAGAATTCCTGCCACCGGATGTTTACGAGGGCTATGCTCAAGTAGGTGGAAATCTTCGTGGGTCAAAGGTTTTGTTGACTACGGGAGAACATGAATACAATCGTTATGGTTTTGATCGACTTATACATTCTAGATGCGTTGATATTCTGCAACCAGATATCACGTGGTTAGGCGGAATTACGGAAGCAAGGCGAGTGGTTTCTATGGCAGCTGCTCATGATACAATGATTAAACCTCGCGACTCAAGCGTCTATTCTTACCATCTTCAGTATGCTTTACCAACTGCGCAGTGGCCGAATATATCAACCTAAGCCACAAAGCAGATAAAATAGTTCCATACTTCGCGGGGCTATTTCCCGACGAACCACTGCCTGCGGATGGTTTCATTGATCTCCCAGACCGTCCAGGATTTGGTATTACCCTGTGCAAGAAAACGTTGAAGAGACCGTACGAGCGCTCCGTTGAGGAATCCAAGAAAAATGCTGACATAAATAAGGTGTACAAAGGACCAAAGAAGGCACACATGCCTTTCTAATTGAGATAACTTAGTATAAAGACATTATTAGTATGTTCGTAAAGTTAGCCAGACAGCCGAAACAGCCGGAACAAAATTTTGTCTCGTCTGGCTGTTCCGGCTACTCCGGCTAGCCGGAATCCGGTTCCGACTAAAATTATTTATCACCTCGATCTCTGGCTATTCCGGTGGGTTTCGCTGGCAAAGGTTCGCCGTCGGGAATGCTGAAGCATTTTGCCGACGTTGAGCCGAAGATCGTAATGTACATGGTCATTTCAACTCATATCTGGCCATTTCCGGCTAACCTCTGTGAGACTCAGCCTCAATTGCACAGAACTCCCATATTATGGGATGGTTAGGGGTCTGACCGTGTGTATGCTGGCATAGGTGTGTCCGTCGTGAATACTTTGGTATTTTGCCTACGTTGAAGCGAAACTCGTACTATACATGGTCATTTCAACTCATATCTGGCACAGTCAATGCCCAATTATTTTTATACAATTATATAGCATGCTCAACTTATTTATTGTGGTAAATGATATTTTTCTGTTTTTTTTTCACTATCAAGACATCCAACTGAAACTGTATATGGGAAATGTCTGTAAATACAAAGGCTTGTTATTTATTAGATTCTGGAGGTGGGAAGGGGTTGGTTGACATTTAACAATCCGTATATGTTTAGGTAAAGTATATCAATGATAACGAATCTCGCTGGAAGATGAAGTTACACACTTTTAAAATGAAATCACATGTACGATGTTATTCTATTTATTTTAAGCTTATCTTGTTAACCTTCTCTGTTAAGCTTTTTTCCTTTAATTATTTGCTAATTTTCATTTTTTTTTAATATGAGGTAAAAACCATCAATTAAGTCAAACATCGTGACTGGACCAAAGTGGTCGTAATTCAGGGTTGGTCTCAATTGTGGATATTCTTAGCATTGCTTAAATACTTTATGACCATGACTTTATAACCTACAAATACAATATTAAAGTATGTTATATTATATTCAATGTGATTAGAGCTAAACAAATTTCTGAAGAAAAGCTAATACAGTAAAAATCTTGATTTAGACCATCGGGACTGGACCAAAGTGGTCTTCATTGCGGGGTGGTCTTAATTGTGAATATTCTTATCATTTCTTATACAATTTATGACAATTTATGACAATGGTCTATTTTAGTCATTTTGTTTGAACAAACAATATGTACCTTAACCTGCAAATACAATATAAAAGTTTATAATGTTACATCTGATGAGAAGAAATTAAATATCAAATTCTATTTAGCCTGATTTCAATATTAATTATTTTATGATGTACAAGGTTCATTCTTCAAATAAAAAAATTAATTCTTCGAAAAATCGATATGCTTAAATCAAAATTAAACCACGTTAAAATCTATTTTCTCATCTATTTCATACAATGTCCCCCAAAATATAAGGTGTTTTTGACACCTTGTGAAATCAAGTGTCATGCCCAAAACATTCAAGCAGATGGTTACAACATAACAACAAATTTTAGGTCTAGGTGGGTGTTGACTTTAAGTCAGTGCTCTCAATAGTAGTGGGGTCAAATAAAAAACAAAACAAAGAATTTGGACTTAATTTGGTGGTCTTAAAAATAATAAGCGGACTCAATGCTGGATCATGTAACCATCGACACAAAGAACAGAAAATTCCGTTCTTATAAAAAATGGTCTAAATAGCGGGTTGGTCTTAATTCCGGGGTGGTCTTAAGTAAAGATTCTACTGTATAAAATTCAATTTGATCTGATTTAAATATTAATCAAAGTATGATGTGCATAATTCAACTATCATATAAGAAATGAATTCTTTACACATATAAATGTGCCGAAAGCAAAATTAAACCACAGTGACGCAAAACATTTACTTTCTCACCTTATTTCATATAATAACCCAATAACAGTTGTTAACACCGTCATGCCAAAGAGCCTTCAAACAGAAAATAACCACAACATTTGATTTATTACAGGTAGGTGTTGAGTTTAACATCAGTGGTCTCAATATATAGTGGGTTTAAAAGAAGATTAAAATAAGGGATTTGGACTGAATCTTGGGTTTTTTACAGTGGAAATGCAGGGTGGTCTTAATTCTGAATCATGTAACCATTGACATAAAGAACAGAAATACCGTTCTTTTATTAGGTGGTCTAAATAGCGGAATGGTCTTACTTCCGGGATGGTCTTAAGAACAGAGAGTCTACTGTATGAAGTAGAATTTGCTTCGGATAGCTCGGCAGTTTGAACAAGGACAATATAAATATAAAAATATTCTAGAGAGTTGCCTGCTTTTATCAAACATTGTTCTATTTGATTCATCGTTATATAATTTAATGTATGGCTCTATTCAATCATGAACAACCGCGTAATGCCCACCTTTGATGTATCTAATTGGCAAAGTCGTCTCCATTTAAATATTATCACCATTTTGTAATTCAGTTTAAATTTACTTTTAGAGTATTAGTTTCGAACTAGCCAGGGTCAAATTTACAAATAAAAATCACATTTGAGATTATGTCAGATAGCTGAGCTTCTAAATATCTAAATGTGCTATATTTCAAAATCGCGTTCAAATAATTGGGAAAAAAATGCGGGAAAACTCATCATAATGATATTATTTGCAAATATGCTGTTATCTCCTGTTTAAGGAAATTTCTATTTAATCAAGGTCAAATTTTCACAATTGAACAAAAATGATAAAAGAAAAAAACAATAATGAAAAAATATTAGTATTTAAGGAGGCAGGATACCAGAGTATGCCCGACGGACACACCTATACCCGCGGACACCCGGTCAGACCCCCTAACCATCCCATTGTATGCGGTTCTGCGGAATTGAGTCTAGTCCCCACAGGGGCAGCCGGAATTGGCCAGATATGAGCTGTATAGTTCGATTTTCGGCTCAACGTCGGCAAAATACCAGAGTATTCCCGACGGACACACCTATACCCGAGGACATCCGGTCAGACCCCCTTACCATCCCACCATATGCGGTTGTGCGTAATTGAGTCTGGTCCCCACAGGGGCCAGACATAATTGGCCAGATATGTGCTGCATATTACGATTTTCGGCACAACGTCGGCAAAATACCAGAGTATTCCCGACGGACACACCTATGTCTGCGGACACCCGGTCAGACCCCCTTACCATCCCACCATATGCAGTTCTGCGTAATTGAGTCTGGTCCCCACAGGGGCCAGACAGAATTGGCCAGATATGAGCTGTATAGTACGATTTTCGGCTCAACGTCGGCAAAATACCAGAGTATTCCCTAACGGACACACCTATACCCGCGGACACCCGGTCAGACCCCCTTACCATCCCACCATATGCGGTTCTGCGTTATTGAGTCTGTTCCCCACAGAGGCCAGCCGGAATTGGCCAGATATGAGCTGTATAGTACGATTTTCGACTCAACGTCGGCAAAATACCAGAGTATTCCCGACGGACACACCTATGCCCGCGGACACCCGGACACACCATGGACGACGCTCATTTTGTCAAATATGTCTGATTATTTTCATCTGAATTACTCTTGATTTCGGTTATACTGGTTAGCCTGAAGAGCCAGATATCGATGTGATAGGTAATTTGAAAATACATCATGAAATAAATGAATGGTATCTTGTACAGGTTTTACTTTATCATTTCTGGTTAGCCTGTTCAGCTGGAACCGGATTCCGGAGTAGCTGGAACAGCCGGACTAAACGTAAATTTGTTCCGGCTGCTCCGGCTGTTCAGGCTGTCTGGCTAACTTCACGAACATCTTAAAATGTATGCATTATTTCTTATACAACATGTTTAATCATATTTAATACACTTGTTACTATATATAGTAACAAAATTGCCTATGATTTCAACTGATTATGAGTGTCACGTGACCTATTATGAGTTTGCGGCCCGGGGCCGAGAACTAGTTATCAGCCCGCAGAACATGTGCACGTGCACAAACTGAAACAATGACGTCACATTTAACGTCATCAAACAGTTAACTGTAAAAGTGAAAGTAGGTTGTCAGCACGAATCGCTTTATTTTTATTATGAGACCTTAAGCGTATTTAGTACAAACACATTTTTGTTCCTATTGAATTTGAAGAAATAATACGACAAATTCATTCCGAAAAAAATGAAAATAAAACTTGCTTCTTGGTTCTACTGCTTTGAACACACAAACAGAAAACATCTCTGTACAGAACAGTAGAAGAGTAGACAAGAATTTCAACGAAAGAACTTCAAAGTCTATTTGTTTTGATTATATATATATATTTTTTTTTTTTGAAATGCTACTATTAGATCTGCCAAGTGTATTAAAGACATTAATACACGTCAGCGTAGGGCCGGAAGGTGATAATCGGCCCTGAATGAATAATGGCCCTCGGGCTAAAGCCCTCGGGTCCATTATTCATTTTGCGGGCCGATTATCCCCTTCCGGCCCTCTCCTGCCGTGTATTAACCTCTTAATATATGTAGTCGAAGTCGTAACTAATACGTTTTGTCTAAGCTGGGAAATTAAAAAATCACGAGGAATAAATCTAAAGTGCAAATACAATTTTCTTTTCTTAAAGTGCAAACATAATTCTCTTTTACTAAAAAAGAAGGTAATTTTGCTGTTAATATGCAAATATTTTAACAATTTTAGAACAAATTTCGAATCATCGTTAAAATCAAAACTTAAATCTAATCTAAGCATAAGCGCGAAGCTGAGGTGATGTCTTGATAATCATTTTGAAGTGACAATTGTAACAAATGAAAAAAAATCGGGAATACAAGAGATTGAA